TTCAATTGATGACTCCGCATGAGATCGAATATCGTCTTCAAGTCCTTGACGTGATCCTCTTTGTTGCGGCTTTTTATAACCAAATCATCAACGTAGCATTCGACCGTCTTCCTAAGATGTTCTTGGAAAATCTTAGTCATTGCTCGCTGATACGTGGCGCCTGCATTCTTCAGACCGAAAGGCATCACTGTGTAGCAAAAGACACCGAGGGGCGTTCTGAACGCTGTATGCTTCTCGTCATCTGGGTGCATCTTGATTTGGTTATATCCTGAAAAAACATCCATAAAAGACATTCTCTCAAATCCACATGTATTGTCGATAATGACATCTGATATCGGGAGAGGAAAGTCGTCTTTTGGACATGCCGTATTCAGGTCCCTGAAGTCGATGCAAATCCTGATTTTACCGTTCTTCTTCATGACTGAAACAATATTGGCTAACCAGTCTGGATGTTGCTCCTCTCGGATAAATCCTGATTCGATCAACTTCTTAACCTCTGCCTCAATGGCTTCCATAATCTGCGGATGAAACCGTCTTTGCTGTTGTTTGATAGGTTTAGCATCCGGCTTGATATCGAGGCGGTGCATTGCCATATTGGGATCGAGCCCGGGCATATCCTCATAGTTCCATGCGAAGACGTCAATATATTCCCTGATGAGAGCGATTAATTCCTCCTTCTCATTTGGGGGAAGACTATCGCTGATGAATATAGGTTTTGGGTTGGCCTCGTCACCCATGTTAACTTGGACTATTTTATCTTCAGTGGGGGGTTCTCTCTGTTCGAACCTATCACCATACTGCATGTTCAGGTGATGAATCCATGGGTCTTCCCATGTTGGCATTTGATCGTCATCCTCCATTGTGGACGGATCAGCTGTAGCCATGTTCGCCATTAGGGCTTTGAAAGCTTCCCCCAGACTTGTATCAGAATCTCATTCCGAGGAATCTGACGAATTTCCATCTTTGTATTGCTTAGATGATTGGTTATTGATTAACCAGCAGCATTCGTCTTCTGAAGAAGATTCATACCCTAAACCTCGTCTGTATTTATAATAATCATCGGGTTTCCCTTTTGGTACATATGCCGCTTTGGCTGGAGTACGAGGACCTCGATCGAAGTATAGACCTTCTCCGAGTGTGAAATCATACCCCTGCTTTTCCATGAGTTTACGTGCTTTCGGACTATACTTAGATAAATGTCGACCAGGTTTGTCATCATCTTCATCTTCCCTTAAGAAATGATCTGGTAATGGAGAGCTTTTCCCTTTACCGTAAATCATTTCTTTTGCGCCTCTTATTTTGTTCGGGATGACCATGGTTGTTCCGAAAGAATGCTGGAGGCGTTCCTTCGTTACATAGGACGATCGAAGCGGCATATACAAATCAGGATTATCGTACAATTCTTTTATCACATCATCAAGAGACAGGGAGTACTCTAAATCGTTATTTATTTCATTATTGGCAAGTTGCCAGTTATAACTACCCTCTGACGTTTGTTCATCGTCAAGGTTGATTACAAAGGGTACAATGTCGTTCAAAACATAACCTCCATTGTAATCAAATCCGGCTTCGGTATCAGCTTCTTCTCCGCTGTCCGTGCTATGGGCCGATGATTCAGTATCGGATTCGTTACCATAAAGGAGAGAATCGGTGAAATAATTCTCATACCCTTTGAATGGTTGCTTATCCGCGACCACCGTCTTAACTCTATTATCAGTGTCGACATATTTCAAACACTGATGGAGAGTTGAGGGGATTATAACGTTACTATGGATCCAAGGCCGACCCAATAGTAAGTTATATGAAGTTTCGGCATCGATCACATAACATGTGACTTCTGTCTTCAAATCTCCCATTTGACACTCGGTTCTAGCTCTTCAGGCGCCGGCTTGATTTGAGTCAGAAACACCTCTGAATTGGCCAAAGCTTCTTGCAAGGCCTCCCTGGTTTCCTTGGACAATCACAGCAACTCATATAGCGTTATCCGTGCTGGAATGTTGGCTAGTTGAGCCATTATATCGAAGACTTGCGGAGTTTTCGAGCTTTCCGGTTTGTCTCTTCCAATCGGACGACTGAAACGAGACTGCTTCGGATTCTGCACCTCCTGGGGATTCTTCTCTTTCGGTTTATTCACCAGCTGTCGTCGAGCCTCTTCGCCCGGTGTAGGACTCGTAATCACTCCCATCTCCGTGAGAGTTTTCGCTGGTCCCCGTTTACTCATACCCTGCTCACTAGGTGGTGGATAATTGTAGTGATACTCATTTCTGCTTCTAGTGGCGAAGACTTCTTGTTCTTCTTTGGAGAGCAGGAAAGTAGGAGCTTCATCGCCATCCTCCTCGAAGATTGTCGATGTAGCATTGCAGGACTTGCCTTTACCCTTTCTTCTCGAGGAAGTCACCTACTGCTCATCTTCAATGAGATCGGGATGAACCCAGAGGATTTCGCCGTTTGGGGCTGCATGTGGCACCAGTCCTTTTTGGCGCTGTCCATGTGGGTCATCGTTCACTGTCTTCATTCCTACTTTGGTGATGCGCTCTGGTTTGAACCATGTTGTGGGCACCGATCCAAAGCTGATTGAAACCGCATTTGCTCCAACATTCTTGGATGGCTTTGGGGTTATGACGCCTACATCAATTAGCGCCTGGATTTGTCATTGAGGTGGTAGCACGACTTGGTAGGGTGATGGACCGCTCTATGGTATGCGCAATACTTCGGATCCGTCACTTTGTTAGCCCCTTCTTGATCCACAATCGCCGGCAGGAACTTCGTCATCTTTGAAGGAATACACTTTAGGCAACCTCGGCTCCGAAGATTTCTGCTTCTGAGGCCGTTGTTGCCATTGCCCCCGAGATTGTTGTGGCGCTTGTTGCTGCGGCTGTTGCTGGGGTTGCAATTGGAAAGTTTGATTAGCATCAACTGTATTAGCATGTGCCTTACCTTTACCCCGTGGGACGAAATTCTGTTGCGGAGCATTATTCGCCTGTTGGCCTCTTTCCGCCTTCTTCCTTCTGAGGAACCGCTCGGCTTGCTCTCCTCGGACCTTCAAATCCTTCCAGGTTTTGGACGGTGCTGTCCCCATTGCTTCCAACACGTCCAGTGCGAGGTTGTTGTGGCAAGTTTGGAGAATGAATTCCTCGGTGATCGGGTCCCGACAGTTCATCGCCTTTCGGTGATCGGGTCCCGACAGTTCATCGCCTTGTTCCGGAACCTCTTGACGAAGGTATCAACCAATTCCCCGTCTTTCTGTTTCTCGTCGAGCAGCGACCTGATGGATATCTCGGTGTCATCGTCGAAGAAGTTAGCGAGGAATTTAGTCTCCATGTCGTCCCAGCTATTCACGCTTCTTGGCTTGAGGCGATGATACCAATCGAAAGCGGCTCCACAAAGAGTGCCAACGAAGGACCGTACCATCAGAGGCTCATTACCAGAGATAACCCCCAGGTGCGATTTGAAGTTGGACCCTAGAGGGGGGTGATTAGGGTCTTATGCTAATCTAATCCGATTAAATGCCAATTAAAACTTATTAATAAGTTATCCTAGCAAATATGAAATACCACAAGATATATAAGCTAGGATAAGCAATGCAAACAAAGAGATATATCCTATATGATGAATATGTATATATGCAAGGATATATAAACAACACAAGGATAAAATAAACAAACTACACAAGTGATAGGGTAATATGATGAGCAATACACAAAGGCGATATAAGATATGAAAACAAGAATAAGAACGCCAATGCAATCACAAACAAAACGATATGATCACGGAGTTCGACAAACAAGCAATATGATTACGGAGTTCGGTCCCCACGACCTACGTCTCCGCTCCTCACCTCGAGGAGATCTCCACTATCACAACCGGGTTTTCTACGTTCACCCGAACAACGTTTACACCTCACAATACAATCACTATGTAATCACACCTCACACACTAAGTGTTGGTCCTAGCCCGTGTCCTCCTCCTCAAGTGCTCGGTTACAACCTCTCCCTAGGCCCGTCAACCGACGCCACTCCTCTTGGATTCGACCCCGTCTCTCACCACACACTTCTCTCGGTGTACAAGTGTATTACAAGTGAATCCTCACAATTAAGCACAATATAAATCAATTGATTGTTCTCTAAACAAGGTGAGAACTCAATTAAGCACAACTCTAAGTCACTAATCTCACAACCCAAAATTATACTATGAATGTAAATACAATAAGCTCAATAGGTTGTGTGTGAACAGAGAGTATCAATAAAACAATTTAAACTCAATATAGAAATCTAGCTTATGGAAATTAAGATCAAAACAATAAATAGCTAGAATTGAGTTTAAGGAAAACTTCTCTATAGATCAAGAGTGAGAGAGAGATGAGTTGAATGCCCAAACACCAAAGGATGATCTCCTCTTTGCTCTTGTGAAATTTGCTTCACAAACTAAACTCAAACAAACTCTTAAACTCTTTTAAACAAAACTTAAACCCTTGATTAAAAACTTTCTTAAACTTGTTTTAAAACTCTCTTAGATGGCTTGAAAGAAAACAGCAATAGGGTATTTATACTCACTCCAAAACTCAGCCAAAAACCAAAAACAAAAGACCAAAAACACCCCAGCAACGGTAACAAAAATAGCCGTTGGAAGCAGTCAGAAGGAGCAGCGGTCGACCGACGGAAATTCCGGTCGACCGACAGAATCGATCGGTCGACCGACGAAGATTTTCGGTCGACTGGTGTTCAGGTCGAAAACAAAAGAAAGGGAGGCAGACTTCTTACCGGTCGACCGACAGACTCTCTGTCGCATGGTAAAGAAAGATCAAATGATCGGTCGACCGGTGCGGTCGACCGAAATCTGACACATGAAAAACCTGTTTTGCTGATTTTAAAATAATGTTTAAAAATATCAAATAAATTCTAAAAAAATATAAAACTTTGGGGAATGATTGTAGACATGATAATAAACATGCTACAACGACTGGTTTCGAAAAAGAACTTCCCAAATGAAAAATATCATACAGGCCACTGCTCTTCAGAATCTTCTCCCAATGGCCCAAGACATAGTCGGTCATACGGGGCCACCACCCCTTGGGTAAAGAAGAAGCCCAACCATAGCATCGGAACTCCGGGTGAGGAAGCCTTCTCCCGAGGAGAGCCAACCTGTTCCTCACTGTAGAAGCAACTGTAAACATCTCGTCTGGGGGTGCGGCGTCAAGGCCCATGATCCCGGGTCGTAGACCACGAACAGGATGATATCCGCCTGAACCAGGGGTCTTCCCATGAGAAACATACCCACACTGAACCCGCACAGCGTCATCAGTGAGGTCCCAAGACATCCGTCTTTCCACAACTTGTCCCTCCAGATGAGTAAAGGAACAATGACGAGGAACGGAAGGAATATATAGAAGGGCACTCTCTTCAAGATTTAGCCAATGCTCCTCTGAGAAAGTCAATGTGTCGGGATCCTCCACATGATCACCGAACAAGAAGTCCGGCTTCTTCAAAGCCTGGGTGGACGTAGCATCCGCGGTAAAAGGAGCGTCAGTAATGAGCTGGCGTAAACAGTGACGCCCCCCATCTCGTATCAGGCGACAGGACTCGTCTGAACGATCCCTGTCAAACTGCGGGAACGGATCAACCACCCGCCTAGCAGAAGTCGACGAAAAGACCTCACGGCTGCAACCGGTGTTCGCATGAACAGGAAAGCTACCACCGGGAAAATCGACTGCAATAAAGCGAAGGGGTCAGAATATCTATCTCATAAAGACAAAATGAGATTGTTCACGGGATAATTGGCGAAGACGATTTCGAGTGCCCTACACCGGGAGGACGGTATATAACCACGTAAATCACGTGATAACATATACCGACCTATAAGGTGTAAGGCAACACGAGATCGCCCCAATATACCCGAGGACTTGAATTGGCTAAGCAAAACAAGTCCGAAACCTTAACCCCCGCGGGAGGGGTATCGGTTCTTCCGTCATGACCCGCGAGAGGTCAATCCGGGATAAAAAAAATATATAAGATTCTAACCCCCAAAGCAGGAGGTCACTGGAGACGATGTCGTAGGAGCCTCCTCCATGCCATGCTGCGAGCAAGGGTGACTCCCGGAAGGTCGAGACCGACGGGGAGACATCGGGAATCTGCAATGAAGAGCAGTACATCAGGTACGATATATATACACGAAATATCGGAAAAAGGGAAATTAAGCACTTGGACTCGAAATCCTAATAACAAATAGGATTTTGTAGTTAAAGTCTAATTAAACCTACGAATTTCGTGCACGCGAAACGATAATCGTCGTCTCGCAGTAAATTTTGGTGAAATACCCGAAATACTCCTCGTGCTCAAGGCCAAATTCAGGTCAAGGACACGTATGACTCGGGTCATGGTCATCATACTTGATCATCTAACATCCCGATACCCTATAATTTTGATCAAATTTTGCAAATGAGCCCTTTTGCAGAATTTGGTCAGTTTTACATAAAAGTCCCTCCACGAACTTTTGGGTTTTGCATCCACATGCTTTTACCAAAAATTCGATCAGGGGTCTAGGGTTTAAGCTTTGTGTACTTCAGCCCCAAATTCGTGGCCCTTTTGCAAATAAGCCCCTCCAAAACGTTTAGGGACTATTTTGCAAATAAACCCCTCAAACAATTCCTTAATCCTATTGCATAAAGCACCCCTCGCATCCCTTCACCAAGTAGGCATAAACCCAATACCCAAATTTCAGTTACACTTTTGCAAAAGACCCCCCACGAATTTCAGTCCCTCTTTTGCAAATAAACCCTCCAAAAGTTCAGCACAAAACCCCCCAAGAACATGTGTTCATACATAAACCCCTATCTACTAAGCATAAAAGATGCAATCTTTAAAGCAAAATAAGAGGTTTGAGGGGAGGATCTTACCCAAATCGAAGAAGCTTCTCCGGGCTTGGAAATGAAATTTGAAACCTTAGTTTAAAGGAGGAGGAGATTTCGGCAAATGGGTACCCGCCAAAACCCGACCTTGCCTTGAGGAGTGATGTTCTTCAATGGAGGAAAGAGGCTTGAGGAAGAAGAAGGCTCAAAACCGAAATGGGGGGGATGTTTTCGGTTTTGGGGGAGCTAAATAAGAGGGAATCCTCTTTGAAAGTTTGAAAAGAGGGGGGAAAACAAAAAGAGTAATAAAACCAAAGCAAAATGGGGGGGACCATGAGCAAAAGGGGGAAAAAGACAAGAGAGAGGAGAGGGGTGTCTCGGCCCCAAAACCGAGACACCCTAGGGTGTCTCGGCCTTGGCCGAGACACCCCCAGGTGTCTCGGCCTTGGCCGAGACACCCCAAGGTGTCTCGGTCAAGGACGAGACACCCCCGGGTGTTTTGGGTTCAGTTTCGTCCCCGTATGCCTGTTTTAGGCCCAAATTCGTCCGTTTCTGTCGATTACCCGATACCTTGATGAAACTCAACACCAATTAACATTCGACGAATCAAAACCCTAAGGTAGACGCCGGTCAACGCGTAACCTTGGGTCAACGCCGGACAGCGCGTTGCGTCAAAAGTCAACACGTGACGACGAAAGTCAACACGTGACGACAAAAGCCAACCTACGCGGTTCAAAACCCTAAGGTGGACGCCGGTCAACGCGTAACCTTAGGTCAACGCCGGACAGCGCGTTGCGACAAAAGTCAACACGTGACGACGAAAGTCAACACGTGACGACAAAAGCCAACCTACGCGGTTCAAAACCCTAAGGTGGACGCCGGTCAACGCGTAACCTTAGGTCAACGCCGGACAGCGCGTTGCGACAAAAGTCAACACGTGACGAATTCGGAGCCCCATGTCAACACGATGTGACAGGGTTAGCAAGTTCAAAAGTCAACTCAATGACACGAGCCAAACTCAACTCACCAGCTGTAAACTCGAGACTCCAACGACGGCCAGGCGATAAACGCAGCGCCGGAACAATCTCGGTTATTCGACAAAGCACCGGATAAACCGAAAATCGAAGGAGCCGAGACGAAAGTCAACACGTGACGACAAAAGCCGACCCACGCGGTTCAAAACCCTAAGGTGGACGCCGGTCAACGCGTAACCTTAGGTCAACGCCGGACAGCGCGTTGCGACAAAGGTCGTGTACGACCCCCAGTCTGGGTGTTGGCTTGAAGCTCCTTCAGCGATCCCCAGCTTTCCTTGACAAGCGCTTTTCCTCGATTCTCGGGTAGAGCACCGATACGATCCTTCGGAGGATTCTTGAGCTCGGGGAAATCCACGCTGCGGTGGGGCTTTACCGAAGGTTCGGGACCTGAAATGGACGAAGGTTGGAGAGCAATATTACCTGCTTTTACCTTAGGCGTTGATTTGGCCTTGTAGGCATCGAAAATTGCCGAGAGGTCCCCGCACACAGCTCGGTGTTAACAAGTGACGATTGAACGTCACTACCCGGTTCACAAGAATTCCAACGACGTCGGTAAGCGCCTGAAGCGAACCGA